GAAACGTTAACTCTGTTTTCTCCTTCACAGATACTGCCAGACCTGCTGAGCTTTTCCAGCAACTTTGTTTTTATCCCAAAATAGACTGTTCAATTATCAATTTTCCACTATCTATTCTACATGAGCCACACACAGATTGAACAGTATATCGTTTAACTTTTGACGTTTTTTCTTTATTCCTAAGCCGAGTGTATTATGTGTTGCATTATTAATTCTTTTCATGCTTAGTAGCCAAGAAATTCACTCTTTCATTAACCTAAGAGCGCCTGGTTAAACTGGTGTCTTCTAAAACATAAATTTATATTTGGTTTAGCAGAATGGCACCAAAAGGTAAGGGATCCTTTTCACTAATTAAGCTTGTACTAATCAACTGAGTGGGGGAGAGGGAAGAAGCCAGTTCATCCCCACCTCATCTAGAAGTGTCACAATTTGGGTGATCTGATCTGTAACTGTGATAACCTAGGGAACATCACCCAGGGTCTGGTTGTGTCAAGTTAGACACCAGTCTTGGATTTGAACCCACAAACAAAGCAAAAGAATTAGTGTAGATAAATTGTCGCTTTGAGACTAATTTTAAAGAAGAAAAAAAGCCACCAAAGACACTCTAGAACTTGATGTCACAACAGCATGTAAATTCATATTTGATGCATGTTCCTCGCCAAATTAAGGCAAGTTACTTTTGAGGATTTAAAAGTTCTGTTGTATAAACATGTTTTGGTGAGAAGGTTAGTTAGGATTAGAAGCCATAATTTCCAAAGGGTTGGCCGGTAACATGGAGATGGAAATTGAGGATGATGAAATGGATAGGTTTAAATGGTAGAAGGATTCAAATTGGAGCAGAGGAAATTAGAATTTCAAGAAAAAGAGAATTTTTAAAAATTCTTTCAGAATGTGGGTGTTGCTGGCTGTGCCTAGTTGCCATTGAGAACGTGGAGGTGAGCTGTCTTGAATTGCTGCAGTCCACATGCTGTAAGTAGAAATGGGAAAGTGAGTGAGCTGTAAAAGTGAGGAAAGAGCAAGGAGGGAAGAGAATTTCAGGAAAGGTGACTTGAAAAGGAGTTTGAACTAAGGGAACTTCAGTTACAGAACCTCACTGTGTTGCATGCAGACACTAACTCAGTCTTGAAGTGGAGGAAACTTGGTTTGCTCATTTAATTCCCAAGTTTGAGAAGTCAGAAGTGTGCAGGTAGCACAGCAATTAGCAGTAAGTCCAATATTTGGTCCTTATTGCTGTAGATAAGCTTTCAGGAAAAGCGCATGAGCTTTGCTTCCTATTGTCTAAGGAAAGAGCCACAGATTGAGGCTGTTTGTAAGTGCATGTGAGTTAAAGCCATAGCCATACCATCAAAAATTCCATACCATTGGGAGGTGACCAAGTGCACCGGGAACTTGAAAGGTTAATGTGGCCCCTGATGAAAACCTACGTGAACTAATTTATCCTTGAGGAATAATGCCCTTCCCAAAAAGAGAGAAACATACAGCAATTGGGTCCAGACAGGCAGGCACACTGGCTAATGATTGTGAGCTGATCCACAAACCTCTATTTCCAAAGAAACCCTCTGCTGGTCACCACCAACCAACTGGAAATGTTTGAGTGGGGAGTGTGATAGGAAATGGAGTACCATGGGAGATAGGGAAATGCTGGGAGGCTTCCTCTGTTCAGAATGTTTGGTGCTAAGGTTAAAATGAGGCCAAGAATCCTGTGTTTCAACTGCCAAAAGGTAGGTCATATCCTGCTCAACTGCTGGAGGTTACGGGAGAAACCCGTGGGATTTATTGGGGTATCAAGGATTTTGTATCTAAAGGAGCTGGCCACATTCACCCCCCAGGGTGAAGCGAGTAAGCCTGTTGGGGTACTGAGGGCCAGCTAAAATCTGTTCCTGGGAAATGGCATGATGTTCCCACTAGAGTGTAGTAAGTGTCAAGGTGCTGGTGGAAAAGTGATTGAAGGAGGGAACATACTCTTTATTGGGTGCAATGTGATCTTGTGTTGGGACCAGTAACCATGTGTGTCATTCCCCAGTTTGTCAAGGAGCAGACAATCCTGTCCACTTTGTATAGATACCAGAGACAATATTTTAACATCTTTAATTTGCCATCCATCACAGATGATCCCAGACCTCAAGTTCCTGCAGATGGGCTGTGATGTGCATCATAGCCTATCCTGATCAAATATCACACACATGGAGGGTTCTGTAAAATCTGGCTCCGGAGCCTCCAGCCTCAGTTTTCTTCTCAAATGAGTGACAGAGATCCCTAACATCAGTGTCATGTGGTCAATGCAGGTCACAAATTCTACAGCCTTAATTCTGTCATTGATGTCACTTCCTTGCTTGGGCAGAATGTACTAAACAGTTCAAAATATTTAAGGCTATATAAATTTTAGACTGATGCTGTCTCTGATAAATTAGGGATACGTTTAATATGAAACCTATACTTTTATTGCATCATTTTCAAATCTCTCATACCCTACTGTATACGTGACCTTCAAGAATCTTGACTGACTAACCTTTAGAGTTGGAAGAGTTCTTGCATTCAGAGAATGGGCTATTCCTAGCATCTAGGTCACATTCCCCAAAGGACCCGGTTTAGTTCACCAATTTCCATTTGTGAGCCACAGTGTGAACTGTCAGGAGTGATCTGGTGACAGCTGTCTTCAACAAAGGGTTGATGTGGAAGGTAGACACATTGTTAGACTGTCACTATCACCCTCCGAAAGGCCATACAATGATCATTGTTCCTTTAACACATCCCTCCTTTCTCACCTCCTTTTAAAAAAAATGCCCTCTTATATATTTGCATCCCTCTCTCCAGCCTCACCCAACTGCAATTACTCTTCTCCTCTCTCTTTGAAGATCTTGAAACCCAGAATTTCTTTTTTACTTTATTCATTCACGGGATGAGGGTATCACTAGCTAGGCAGCATTTATTGCCCATCCCTGATTGCCCAGAGGGCAGTTAAGAGTCAGCCAAATTTACTGTGGGTCTGGAATCAAATGTAGGCCAGACCAGGTAAAGATGGCAGTTTCCTTCCCTAAAGGACACTTAGAATGACTAGGCTAACCACCAACTGCGTGTTCTTTGGACTAATGCCTTTTTTATGATTGATTTTTTTCTGATAGCTGGTCCTTGGGGCCTTGGCACTTTTCTTAATCATTCAAAAAAAACTGATTTTCCTTTTATAGCTGACTTTTGTACTGTAGGGCTGCTGTAACTGGCTCTGTACACAAATGGATTTTCTCTGGTTATGGATCGCCAGTGAGTAGGAATAGTGCAGGAGTGTTGCCAAGCTCCCTCAAGTTTTCCTGTTGTATTAACAGTGAATCTGCAAAGCTGATATCCTTTCCAATGGGCAATCATCCTCTTGTGTGCAGTGAATGAAGTATCACAGTCAATTGTTTACTCCAGAACTGTGACCATCTCAAAAAGTGGGTCAGGCACTTGATGGATTTCTGTAACTGTTCCAGTCAGTGCACTTTTTTCTTCATTGAAATAGCATTTTTCTTTTAGCAATCTCTGAGGGCTGGTGCCTAAATTGTGTTCATTTACATGGGGAGTCAGTGGCATACTGGACTAGTAATCCAGAGGTCCTGGCTAATGTGGGGACATGGGTTCATTACTCCATTTGAAGCAGCTGGTGGAATTGAAAGCTAATCTCTGCAATAGTGACCATGAAACTATGATCTGAAGAAGCGTCATACCAGACTTGAAACATTAACTCAGTTTCTCTCTCTACAGATGCTGCCAGACCTGCTGAATTTATCCAGTGTTCTGTGATTGATTCAGATTTCCAGCATTTGCAATATTTAGCTTGTATGAGACTATAATCAATTGTAAAAACCCATCTGATTCACTGATATCCTTTTTAGGGAAAGATAACTGCCCATCTGGCCTCCAGGTGGCTCCAGAACCACAGCAATGTGGTTGATCTTGACTCCCATCTGAAACGGCCAAGCAAGTTGCTCCAATCAAGAGCAGTTAGGGATGGGCAACAAACAATGGCTTTGACAATTAATCCCATATCCCATGTTAGACTAAAAAAAGTAGAGAGCTAAAATATAATGCAGCATTGGAGCTGTGATCAGTGTCTGGAATACATGCACTAATCTGAATCAGACTTTGGACAGATATGTTTAACTTTTGGACAGTATAATCTGTTTTCTGGAATAATCTAGGTACAACCACCAACAACCATCCCCCACAATTGCTTCTGCACCCACACAAAAAAGGTTTAATCCACGCATTAAGGAAATGTCAGAGATAACAGTGTGGAGCTGGAGGAACACAGCAAGCCAGGCAGCATCAGAGGAGCAGGAAAGCTGATGTTTCAGGTTGGGACTCCATTTCTGAAGAAGGGTCCCAATCCAAAACGTCAGCTTTCATGCTCCTCTGAGGCTGCCTGGCCTGCTGTGTTCCTCCAGCTCCACACTGTGTTATCTCTGACTCCAGCATCGGCAGTTCTTACTATCTCTAAGGAAATGTCTGAGTTGTTTTAAGAGCACTGATGCAACAACTTGAATCTCAGCAAATCCCAGTTCTACTAGACTCTTGTAGAAATACTGTATTTCTGGAAATTACTTTATTTCAAATCAGTTTGGCGCTTGCAGTGACTTACTGCGAAACTCTAGCATACACAGTGGTACCTGACTTTTGGAAATTGTGCAGGTTTCCACAGTGACATTGACATGATGATTATTCTTGTTTGTAGTTGGAGTCAAAGTTACTTAACCTTTGACATCACAGCAGCTGGACTTGCATCCAGTAAATGCATGGGCAAAATATTGAGTTCTGTGGTCTATTCCATAATGAATCAACTCACTCATGGAACACCCTTGCGGGCGAGGGGTAAAGGTCAGATGAAAATGATTAGGGTATTGCTGAGAAACAACAGCGTTTGCTGAAGCTTTTTGTTTTTCGCTCATCAGGGCAATTTTCAAGAATTATGAATGTAAAGGAATATAACATTTTATTCCCCATGAGAAGAATGCGGGGTGCCCAAGTTGATTCCACTTGTCAACCAATCAGTACTCTTCTCATGCAGTAGAAAATGTTTTCCTTTACCTTTTGTAATTCTTGCAAACTGCCCTAATGACTGCCAAACAGAACACTTCATCAAACTTCGTCCTTTTTCAGCAGTACTCAAGTTCTACACTACCTAATTTATTGTTAATGAAGTCAGTGAAAAACAACAGGAGGAATTCTATACACCTTGGTTTCAAGGTCTCACTGTGGGGGGAGGGGAGAACAGAAAGTTGGTTGTGAAAAAGTTGAGAGCTTCAGATGTTTTTCAGCACTGATCCCAGTTTAGTTTCATTGGTGGAAATTTATTGAGTCAATTAATTTATCAATGAAGCTGCAACTGAATCTAGTGCACTTCCATGGCATCTGGCTTTCAGGGTAACAATCGTGTCAATCAGTTGCAATATGAGGTTTATTTGGGTAGCCCTATTCATTTGGAGATATTGCTGTAATCTGTCCAAGTGCAGAGGTCATGGGCCACTTACGTTTCTTGAAAGGTATTTTTGGGACATTACCTGATCTGATTATCTTACTTTCTGCCTTAATATATTTTCACATCTCTCTGGGTGTGGTGGGGTGAGGGGAGGCGTGGGGCGTGGTGGGAGAATAAAATTTTATTGTTTGAGTAATCAGGCATTAACTGAATGCCAGAAAGCATCAAATGCTGTAAAATTTTTCCTGTTGGAGTTTTGGAGGACGGCTGTCGGGAAAAGTGTAGATATATGCATACTTGATCCCAAGTAGGATTTGGACAGTAGCAACTAATGAGGAGCTTCTCATTTTGCTGTAATATGGTTTATCCTCTTGCACCCATTTTGTACAGTGCTTGAAGCTGAAAACAGTCAATCTGTCATCTCTACAAATTAAACAATCTCTTGTTTTGCAGACGATGTGGGAGAAGCAAACTATGATGCCAGTGGCGCCAATAGTCCAGAGACGTGTGGTGTGGGCTCCCCATCAAGCCCTGTACCTCTGCAGCGAAATACTAGACCAGGTGTGGGCAGCCAGAGGGTGGCAGAAACTGAATCTTCTCTTTGGCAGGCCACAGGTAACCAGAATTGGCGGCCTCTCTCAGAGATGGAAGTAGGGAAACCCGCACCAAAAATGAAAGATGGAGGTTTGAAGCCAGCATCGAAGTCTATAAATGGGGTGCCACAATCTGATCCGACCACTGCCAATGTGTCTCGAGTACCATCCTTGCGCACAAAGCCTACTTCCAAGATGTTTTACACTGAAGCTGGTAAATGCACTTGATATAATGTAGAGTACTAACTGGCATGCAATATTAACATTGCTCTTAACATGCTAGAACAGTAGTGCTTTTTCCTTCCCCAAGTCTGACCAATTGTTTCTGCAATTTTAACTCAAATTGAAATTCATCAAGATAAATCTGATTCTATGAAGGGGTTTTCACTGGATTTTTGTTTTATTCATCCGTGGGATGTGGGCATTGCTGGTCGGGCCAGTATTTTATTAACTGTTCCTAGTTGCCCTTGAGAAGATGGTGGTGAGCTGCCATCTTGAACCACTGCAGTCCATGTTCTGAAGGTCCACAATGTTGTTAGGGAAGGACTTCAAGGATGTTGACTCAGTGACAGAGATGGATCAGCAGTATGGTTCCACATAAGGATGGTGACTGGCTTGAGAGGAACTTTTCAGATGCTGCTGTTTCCCTGTACTGCTGCCCTTTTCCTTCTAGATGGAAGTGGCCATGGGTTTGGAAGATGCTGTCTAGGGAGCCTTGGTGAACTTCTGCAGTGCATCTTGTACACACTGCTAATACTGACCATCAGTGATGAAGGGTGTGAATGTTTGTGAATATGGTGCTAGTCAAGTGGGCTGCTTTGTCCTAAGTCATGTTGAGCTTCTTGAACATTGTTGGAGCTGCACTTTCACAGAAAGGTGGGGAATATTCTATCACACTCTTGATTTGTGTTGTGGATGGTGGACAGGCTTTGGGGTGTCAGAAGGTGAGTTCCCCATTGCAGGATTCCTAACCTCTGGACCTGGTTTTGTAACCACTGCATTGATGTGGCTAGTCCAGTCCAGTTTCTAGTCAATGGTAATCCCAGAATATTAATAGTGAGGGAATTCAGTGATGGTAATGTCATTTAATGCTAAGCGTTAGATGGTTAGATGGTTAGATTTTCTGTTGTTAGAGATGCTCATTGCCTGGTACGTATGCAACATGAATGCTACTTGCCATTTTTCAGCCCAGGCCTGGATTTTGTCCAGGCCTTGCTGTATTTGGATATGGACTGCTTCAGTATCTAAGCAGTCATGGCTGGTGTTTAACATTTTGCAATCATCAGTGAGCATCTCCACTTTGGATCCTGTGATGGATGGTAGGTCACTGAAACATCTGGAGATGGTTCAAGGATACTACCTTGAACTCTTGCAGAGGTGTCCTGGAGCTGAGACAATTGACCTCGAAAAAACACGAGCATCTTTCTTTGTACCAGCTATAACTCCAATCAAAAGAGAGATTTCCCCCTAATTTCTGTTGTCTCCAGTTTCGCTAAGGGTCCTTGATGCCATAGTAAGTCAAATGTGACCTAACATCAAGGGCTGTGACTGTCACCATTTTAATTTAGTAGGTACCCTTTTTGCTATTAGTTCCACCAACCAATATCGATGGTACAAGTTTAGAAATTGGGTAATGACATCCTTGTACTGTATGTATTTAATAAAAGACAGAGGGTAACAGCTGAGAGGAGTGTGTGGAGTAAATTTGGCCCCAAGCCATGTGGATAAATTTGAAATCCTGATATGGCTAATTGCATCCATAAAAATGATGTTAAATGCCTTCATTGGTATGAGATCTGATGTCATTCTCCCAGTTTTTGAATGCTTAGGTTTTGTATATTTGGTAAAATGCATGGTTCACCTTACAAGTATCTTCTGTGTGATTTGTGTATTTGGTTGTCAGCTAACATGGTGTGTTATACAGATGAAAATACATCCCTGTAGGAATGCTAAGAATGTAGGGAGTGGGGAGCTGAAGTTGCAGATACCCTCCATTGTGTTGTGTGGTACTGTCACGGTGTTGAATAGGATAGATTTTTAACAGACATAGCAACTCATAACTGGGTATCCATGAGGTGCTGTAAAATATCTGCAGCAACAGAATTATATTCAATGTCGATCTGTGTGAGAAGCTACGGGGTCAACCCGGTGATGCTATGACATAGGACTACTTATGTGCCAAATAGCTAAAGCAGCAACTGCTAGACAGAGCTGAGTGATCCCGTGACAAATGGATCAGATTTCACCTCTACAGTTCTGCCATATTCAGTATGGTAGTTGACAATTTAACCAACTTGCTGGAGGATTATGTTCAACAAACACCCACATTCTCAATGATAGGGGAGCCCAGTACATTAGTGCAAAAGCCCAGGCATCTCCACCTTCAGCCATCTCTGCTTGCTCCTGAGGTACCTGCCATTACAGAAGCTAGTCTTTAGGCAATTCGGTTAACTTCATGTGACATCAAGAAAAGACTGAAGACACTGGATGCTGCAAAGGTCCTGACAACATTCTGGCACCCTTAAATATAAATACAATGCTGAAGACTTCTGCTCCAAAATTATTCATGAACATAACCAAGCTGTTCCTGTAGAACTACAACACACTCATCTACCTGGCAATGTGGAAAACAAGAAGCAGGAAAAGTCGAACTCAGTGAATGATCATCCCATTTGTATACTCTTGATCATCAGCAAAGTGATGTAGGGATCATTGACCCTATCATTTCGCTGTCAATTAAGGTGCTATCAAGCAGGAGTTGCTCAGCAAATCACCTGCTCACTGATGAACAGTTTGGGTTCACTTGGAGCCACTCAGCTCCCAATCCATTACAGCCTTAGTCCAAACATGGACAAAAGAGCTGAACTCCAGGAGTGGGGTACTCAGAGGAGTCATTAAACTCAAAATGTTATCTCCTGTTCTCTCTCTCTCTCTTGCTATCTGATGCTGCCAGGTCTATAGAGTTTCTCCAGCATTTTATTTTTATTTCAAAACTCCAATGTCTGAAAAGGATATCTTGCTATAAGGTCAGAGTGACTACTTTTTAATTTCAAGATGTAATTTGACTGAATGTGGCATCAAAGATCCTTGGCAAGAAACAGGGAAGACTTGCCATTGGTTGGAGTCATACCTGGCACAAAGCAGGATGGTTGAGGTTGTTGGAATTGAGACATCTGTCCCAGGACATCTCTGCAACAGTTCCTGAGGGTTGTGTCTTTAGCTTAATCATCTTCAGCTGCTTCATCAATAAATTTACCCCATCATAAGGTTAGAAGTGAGGATATTCACTAACGATTGCACAGTGTTCAGCACCATTAGCAACTTCTCAGAGAGGGAAGCAGTCCATGTCCAAATGCCACAAGACCTGGACAATCCTGGCTTGGGTTGATGAGTGGCAAGTAGCATTTGCACCACACAAATGCCAATCTCCAATAAGAGAATCTAACAGTTATCCCTCAACATTCAATGGTATTGCATCACTGAAACTTCCATTGTTAACATCCTGTGGTTGCCACTGATCAGAATTAGACCAGCCATATAAATAATATGGCTACAAGATCAGTCAGAGGTCAAGAATTCTGTGGCAAGTTACTCAATTCCTTGCTGCTCAAAGCCAATCCGCCATCTATTAGATGCAAGTCAGTGATGGGATGTTCATTTGCCTGATGACTGCAACTCCATTAACATTCAAGAAGCTTTATATTGTGCAGGATTTGTTTAATGTCTCCTTATTCATCACCACCAATATTTTCATTCCCTTCAACACAAATGCACAGTAGTGAGGCAACAGTGTGTGCCATATACAAGATGTCCTGCAGCAACTCTCATGGGTTCCTCTGACGGCACCTTCCAGATGCTGTCTCTGTCACAAAGAAAAGCCAAGGACAGCAGATGCACGGGAACACCAGCAGTTACAAGTTCAACTCGATCCACTCCCCACCTTGAATTGATACTACATCACCGTTCTTTCACTGCTGCTTAATCAAGATCACGGAACCTCCTTCCTTCCTAAGGCATTGTGACTGCCCCTGAACCATGTGGTCTACAGTGGCTCAAGAAGGCCGCTCATCACCACTATCTTGAGGGTAACTAGGGACAAGCAACAAATACTGGCCAGCCAACGGTGCTTATCTCCCGTGAATAACATTTACTATTCCAAAAGAAAATGTTTGAGGTCAGCAAAATAAGGAACACAGCCACTAACAAAGAGGATATGTCATGCCAAAAAATCATCTGCACTTTCAATGGAGTGCAAAAGTGTTTTTTCTGAGTGAATGGTTGGTGTTGGTGATGACTGGGGGCACTGGTTGTTGGGTCTGAATGGAGAATTGCAGATGGTGTTGGGGTCAGCATCTGTAAGTCAATAACTGCCAGACAGAATCCAGAAACTGCATTGTGTGCCTGATTAAATTTAATGTTAAATCTTTTGAAGAAGCGTACAAAACCCTGTAATGATGGCAATGGATACTGAAGTAAACATATGAGTAAGATATATTTACTTGCACTATCATTTTCCGCCAGGATTCATCTACGAGAGTAAAGTACTGTCGTTGTAGTGTGGCTAGTTAACAGTTTTTATTCGAGAACGAACCGAAGTGTTTTAAAAAGAGCTCTGTCTTTATCACTAGAACATTGATCTAGATTGTACACAGCAAGTTCAATAAGAGCTACATGCTCAAAGTCACCAGTTCAATGCTTTACAATTCTGATTTTATTAATTTTAGTTTTTTTTAAACCTTACTAGATAACTGATTCCATTAAGGCTGACAGCAACCTCTTTGCTTAATGTATAAACTGTGACCTCGGTAAATCTCCGCTAGCGCAGTTGAAAGCCCCCTGCATGGGCATTTGGTTCAAGCAAATTAGTTTTAAAACTTGCTGGCTTAGGATTCCTAGTTCCCATTTCAGATCCACGACCCAAATCACAAAACAAATTAAGTGCAAAATCTCTTTGTGCTCAAGTCATGACCTGAGAAGTTTGCCAGTAATTCATCAAATGAGCCAGGGTAGGATGTAAAAGATTGGATTCCAGTTACAAGACATTACTAGGAACATAGGGCAAACTATTTGTTGAGAAGGTTTGATTTGTTGCTTAGCCATTTGAATGGTAGTCGGCACAACAACTAGTACATATTGTCACAGACAGTCTCTTCAAGTCACGTTTCTGTTGAGCGTTTGGGTTAGGCTGTGGATATATTTCTGTGATAATAACACTCTTAGAAATGTAGATAATAGTAACAAGGAAAGGCTATTGTGTCTTTGAACTTGTTCTGGCATTCAGTAAGATCATGGGTGATCATCCTACTCGGTACCCTGTTCCCACTTTTGCCTCACATGCATTGATCCATTTCGCCCTAGGTACTATAACTGCATTCTCCTTGGAAATATTCAACATTTTGGCCTCAGCCATTTTCTATGGCAGGTAATTTGTAGGCTCACCATTCTCTCTGGGTGAAAAAAAATCTCCTCATCTCAGTCCTGAATGACTAACTACTTCATATCCTTAGACTGTGGTCCATGGGTCTGGACTCCCTAGCCATTAGTTACTTGGTTAACTTTACAATTAATTTCAGACTGTCACATTACCTGTATGATTAGTTGCTGCTCCACAACCCTCCAGCTTCATTTAGGTTTTCTAATTTTTCATGGAATTCTATATATTCCAGGAGGTATTGTACCCTGAACAGTTCTTATGTTTTGGGTTCTAAAAGTGCAAGTCGGAGACTATATGACAATGGATGCTTGTGCAGTTCGTTATTATGATATCTTGAAAGCTGGTTTTATTGTTATTGAAAAGTTTTAATAACACGCTTTCTCTAAAATACTTTTTATTTTAAAAATCAAAACCTAAACGAGGGAAAGCAGAGGGGCATTAATGTATGTATGATATTTCCCTTTGTTGCTGAATGCGGTTATAACCATTATAGATCAGGAATTATAAAGTGTACAGATCCATCCTTTGAGGTGTAACATTCAGAACAGGAAAGAAGAATTGTTCAGATTGTGGCAACTTGTTCATCAAGCAGCATTGTGCTTGGAGTCCAAACTCATTAAAGATGGAACAAAAAGAAAATTGCTGGAAAAGCTCAGCAGGTCTGGCAGCATCTGTGAAGAAAAAAATCAGAGTTAACATTTTGGGTCCAGTGACCCTTCCTCAGAACTCAGATCAGTCAGCATGCTCACAGAGAAGAAAAGGAAGCAAATCTCTTGCACTGTAGATCCCAGTACCTCATGGAACATTCTGCCCCATCAGCCTCTTTTCTGCCAATCCACATTGGCTGTTCACTCCTGTGAAGACCGCCAGCAGGAAGTCATGACCCTGAGTGGACATCATCCTTGAGTCGAGAGTCAGCCGACGAAATCAGAAGAATCTGAGATTTAATCATTGCTTTGATTTAAGCTAAACTTGGTTGTTGGTGAAGGGGGAGCTATGAGTCTTTCTGGGCTGATGAGGGAATACAGTGAGCAGTGACCTGTGTTAGAAAACAGATACATATCAATCTGATGAGAGGCAGTACCCAAAATGGTCATGTAACATATTGATCACTAACCATAGACATGCTTGGAAACACTCACCTGGCTGAAGCAGCTGAGTTCATGTAGGATGACAGTATCTCCCACAAACTGTATTAAATGGTGGCAAATTTGTATGTGGAAAGGGACACATTTAACCATTTTATTCTATTCAACAAAGCTTTTCATAATTAACTAAACCGTAACTTCTAAGAATGGGGCTAAGTTAAATCCAGGGAAAGAATTGCTTTTATTTTGCAGATGAAGTTAAGGGAAACTCATGATTTAAGGAAACAGATTTAACTATTAACAACAGGTTTTCCCGTGGAGAGCATCTGCAGTTTCATGTTCCCAGAACGTGTTTCTCTGATCGTGAAAGCAATAATTGCACAGTGGTTGGATGTTATTTGTCAGTGTGCAATAACTTTACTTTTTTTCTTTCTCAGGTGATTATAGTAACGTTAATGTACAGCGAGCTCATCCGGAGAAGACCTCCTCTGGCCTGCAACGTCCTCCCATGAGACCACCAGATCCTCCTTGTCGAGATAAAGTTGCTCCACTGCTGAAAGCAGAGCAGTCCACTAGCATGGAAGATACTTCATCTTCTGTGTAAACATCCTTATTTGTATTGTGCTTTTGTTTCTCCTGTTTTCCCGCCCTTGACAATTGTTTTGCATTATCTTGTCATTGGCTTGCAATGAAGTGTAGCTTCACAAGCAACCACCCTTGCTTTTTGTCATGAAAACCCACAGCCCCAGTGAATCCTTTGTCTCCTTTTCTCTCTCTCTCCCTCTCTCATCCACCTCCTCTGTCTGTCTGTCTGTCTCTCTTCCCCCGCCTTCTCTCTCTCTCTCTATTCCTCACTCCCCACCCCCCACACCACCCATCTGTCCCTCTTCCCTCTCTTGGCTTTTCAGAAGGGATCACTAGAATCAAAGCAAAGCAGGGAGGTTGGACACAATGTTCCTCTCCCTGTTGGCTCTGGCTTGTTCTTAAGGACCTTGCAATTGGGATCTCTAGAGGAGATCTGAATTGGGCACAGACTGGACACTGAACTTGGGGCTAGGTTTGAAGGTGGGCAGTGCTTGTAAAATGCAGTGTGTGACCTGCTCATCACTTACCTGCCCTCCCCAGCGTTGCTGGGACTGCACATCTGCTGGGCAGATCAGTTGGGGGCAGGTGTTTAAGGCAGGACTACTTCAGCGGAGGTCTTGCATAAACTGATGAGCCGTTGCCAAGCATGAAGTGGCTGCTAGGCAAACAGTATTATTGTGGGAGGGCTCCTGACTGACTTCTAACTCTGGGTGGTTGGGGACCATACCACTTCACAGCTCAACCTCCAATTCAGTTCTGCTGGCTGAGGTATTGAACAAGCTTTTTACTGTGCCTTTAATATACTGAGAGAATAGTAATTACGTTGATCCATAATCGCAATTCTGGAATTCCTTATCACTCTCCTGGAATTAAATCTCCTTTTCCTATCTCTTTACTTCATTAAGATGATAATTGGTGATTTTGCTGTAAAGACTTTTCTGCTGATTTTAAAAAAAACCTCTTGAGTTTAAATTAACCCTAACAAATGTGTTCTGAGAGACAAATTCAATTCAGATGATGAGAAAAGCAAGCAATCGGAAAAAAGGCAAAGTGAAGAGAGTTGAACAATGTTGAAGCACCTCTGGTTATTGAGAGTTGGCAGTAGTGAGGGAATAAATAGATAAACTCTTCAGATTTGGCATGTATTTTCCAAACTGCTTGTCTAATTTCAAGTTCAACCATCAGTTTATTAAATGGTAGAAGAGGGTCAAAGGCCAAAATGGCCCCTTGCTGTTCATATGGGAGATTTCCTTGTCTCTATTTTCAGAAGAAAGGACATAAAACATAGAGAAATATCACGAGAACAAGGTAATCATGCATTGGCTTCACAGCCCAAGCAGTTTAAAACCTTATCCCCTCTAAACAACAATATGTTGCACAGACAGTCTTAAATAGAAGATAGATTTATTAAAGAAAATTAATAGCTAATATTACAAAGCTGTTTACAAACTAATTCTTTTGAATACGGGTCTATTTGCGAATAAGTTGCATTGAAATTGTTCCTAAATGAAGCTAGACCTTGTTTTACAGAAAGCTGGGGTTTTAACCCTTGCAATGAGAACTTGGCATCTAAAGCACTGTGAGACAACAAGGTGCAGGGCTGGATGAACACAGCAGGCCAAGCAGCATCATAGGAGCAGAGAGGCTCCTATG